CTTCCTGGTGTTTCCTTATCTGTGGTTGTATCTTTTCCTTAATCTCCGTGCTTTCCTTCACATCCCTTTTCTTCCTTTTATGGCCGTGGTATTTTCTGTCTCTAAGCAGAGAGACTTAAAAAAAAAAAAAAAAAAATCAGCTGCTTTTTGCTCTGTGATCAGTTTTCCTAAAATGTACTGAAATGTGGAAGGATTTGCACTTTATATCCCTGATATCATCCTCTATGGTCAGTTTCATGACAATAGCAAAAAATAAGTGACTCTAAATGACATGTAACCTGTTATTAAAAAAATTAAATGCTGTGGGGCGCCGCTATAGCTCACCTGGTTGAGCTGGCGTCCCATGTACAGGGCTACAGTCCCGATGTGGAGGTCATGGGTTCGAGTCCCGCTCATGACCCTTTCCCACACGTCCTTCCCCCATTCTTCTCCCCCACTTTCCTGTCTCTCTCTCACTATCGAATAAAGGCCAAAAAAATAACTTAAAAAAAAAAATTTAAATGCTATGATCTCTTGCAGAGCTAGACGCTGGTTTCCATGGCTACGGAGGATATGCAGGTGACATCCCTATGGACGGGATGGACGGAAACATCATGCATGAAGATTACCCAGCCAGCATGGCCTACGACAGACAAGCTTACCCCGAGCCTTATTAAAGGTCAGTACAGGCTGAAGATGTAAGATTTTAGCACTCGAAAACTCAGTTTGATCAAATCAACAGTGATCTGCCAGCAACCCTTTAACTGTCATTACATTTCAGATCAAATACTTTTTTTTTTTTTATTTATTTATTCAACAAGTGTACATCCAATACACAACAGCAGTTCAATGTAATTATGACATATGATACTATAATAAATGAATAAATAAACTGAGGAGGTGACAAATGAACACATGCAACAAGCAGAAGGAAAATAAAGTTGTAGAAATGTATTTTTTAACTGTCAGATGGGTAAAAATAAAAATGGAAATTCATATTTTCTTTAAAAATATATGTATATTTAGCTTTTGTTGTTATTCGTAAGATTAGGACGTCAGCTCCACTCAATTAAGACAAAACCTAAAGAAGACGAGAAACTAAAAAGAATGAAAACTATCTAGAGAATGTTCTTGACATTATTTGTGTTGTCATAGAAACCAGTGATTTCTTCGAAGCTTAAGTGGTTGGGAACATTAGTGGTATTGAAAACATGATTAAAAACCACATTTTTGTAGTTATTTATTTTTTAAAGTGTAGTTATATTAGCACGTGTCTCAAAAAGTTGAGGATTTACTATATTTATAGTCACATAAGCAAAGATGATGAAAATTGCATTATTGTAGCTTTACATGACATGGAGGCAGACATATTGGAATCTAAATGTTTTGATTAACTCACATTGACATTAATAATGTGGAGCGTTTTTTTTTTTTTTTTTTATTGTCCTCTCAATCTTTAAATAAATGTTAATTTCATTTGTTAAATTGTGCTGCTGCCTGTCTTAGCTGTGACACTCAAAACTGTAAAAGTCATTCTTAATCTCAGGGAGACTTTTTCCTGGTTAAATATGTGGAATTTTTTTTTAAAGCGCTTTTTTAAATGTATATATATAAACTTTATTTTGAAGTTAATATCTTTCAGAATTAATTCTGTTTGAATTTGCCTCCAGGTGTAATTTTTCTTTAATTTCCTGACTGCATATATTATATATACATATAACACAATATACATTGCATATATATTGATAACATTAAAAAAAGTTTTCCTAATTGTACATCTGAAATGATCTCCCAGGCAACAAACATAAGCGCACCTCATTGATTGGTGTAGTCAAGGTATGACATCACCTTTTTCCAAAATAAAAGTCCTGTCCAGTTCAAATGGGCAAGAAAAGCACAGATAAAAACACAAATACTGAAACATCTTTAGTGACAAAAAAAAAAAAGCTCATAGTTTTTCATCCAGCAGAAACATTCTAAAATAATTGTCCTCTCTGGGGATTCTTTTCTCATTATATGTTTTGGTTTTTCAACAGTTCCAGAGCAGAAAGAGAAGTCAGAGGCGGCCAAGCAGCTGAAGTTGGATACAAAGAAGGAGAGAACGTGGTGACCAGAGGAGATTATTTCCCTCTGCTCTCCACCTGATGTAATATATGCAATTATTGCCGAGTACGGGACTCATAATCTTAACAGGGCTCAACTTTTGTTTTATAGCATAATTTTGCGGATTATAATTATGACAGTGACGATGCTCGTAAGTTTCTGTTAGAGAGCCTTCTCAGAGTGTGTGCATGTGAGTATGTGTGTTTACGCTTTCGGGTGGGTGTTCTATGCCAAAGAGATTTTATTTTGTGACAATAATCATGTAGCTTCCTTTTTTTTTTATAAGAAAATGAAACAAAAAAAAAGAGAATAATAGTTGAAAACACTGCCAGAGGTGGCTCAACGTGCACGGTGCACCTATTCACTGCTCCACTTAACGCCTTTGTAACAGACACTACTGTCCTTGCTGTAGTTTTGATACTATATTCTGTCAACTTTCTCCCGCTGTGACCCAAGAGTCAGTGCAGAGCTGGTTAACACTTCTGTCTTGTGGCACTGATTCAGTAGAACAAACGGGGAGAGGTGGAGGTCTTTGAGCAGCAGCGTAGGGATGCTCCCCACTCTTCTGTAATCGGCTGATGTGTATTATTAGATGATTACAGCTGTTTTGTTTTTTATGAGTTGTTTCTCATCTTTTATAAGTTATTTACTGGGGAAGGTGACCCACTATTACCAGATTATTAAAAGAAGATGTCTTTGATTTTAACCTGAATTTAAAGAGAACGTTGTATGTGGCTGTAGTAAGAAAGAGAACAACATTGTGGGTAAAGCAGATTCTGTAGATCCATCTGATTCTTTAGTCTACACATGAGAGGATTCAGTCGGGGATCGCCCTACAGCTGGAGCAAACTACTGACAGGGAAATTTGTCTTTCTACTTAATAAGAGTTTTTACTGAAAATTTGTTTAATAAAAAATAAAGGATATATTAAACATGTTATGGTGTCCGTGTTTACTGAGTTAAAGATCATTGATAATTGTGAATAATCCAGAAGCTGTTACACCTGTGATCAATGTTTGAGATCCATCCCATATACCAAGACTTCTGTGGTCTGTAGTTACACACACACAGAAAAACTTTCATTCATAAGAAAATATTCTGTCACATTCCACTGTTAAATGGCTCTTATGGGTTTTCATGCTAATCTCTTGTGGAGCAGGCCCACGAAAGTAATCAATTTATGTTACTTTATAGTAAATTTATGCTAAATTCAAACAGTTGTACTGCCTCAAAATTGCACGTTTATAAATATGCAGTGTTAAGAATTCAATAGCATCTATTGGTGCAGTTGCAGGTTGCAACCAAATGAAAAATAAAACAATTGTGGGATGCACGCTCAGAAGTAAAAGGGCTTTAAGGTCCCTTTGGGGTTCTTCACTATCGCCACTGTTTCTATTGTATCTATTTAGAATTCTTAATTATTATCAGTATGTATATGTAATGAATATGTTTATCCTCCAAACATCCCAAAAACATATTATGGATGTTTCTAAATGCAATTGAGAGACTTTGCCTTTGGTGTCAGGGACCATTTTTACACAAATCTGTTGGCAGAAAGTCAGACAAGACCCTGATTTTACTTAAATATACCCAGTATCTATAACTCGCAGAACATCTTCAATGTTGTTCTGAAGAGTTCTATAACTTTATGATCTTGACTGTGTTTTAAAAAAAGAAAAGCTCCTCCTTCCTCCTCCAGACCCCAGGCCAGCATACACATACAGAAGTCACTGGTTTCTCCAGCAGCCTTTTTCTCTGAATTGAGCTATTAAAGGTTCCTCCAGGAACCTCACAGGAAAGCAAGGTTTCTTTACCATCTCTAAAACTCCCCTGATTTCAATCATCAGTATCATGATTCTCAGGAAAGAAAATCTTTTCCTGCTACACTGCTTTGACCTGAAAAATGGTTGATTTTATTCCACAATTTTGTGTAATCCTGGAAATCATAGTGTATCTCAGTTCATAATTGGTGCTGAATGAGGTACAGGACAGAAAATACTGTTATATTAGTAGAGAGGATCTAAAAGCAAACATTTTGGATTTATGTTGTTAAATAACATTTTACCATTACAAGGTTGAACTCTCATCACATCCTTGAAATAATACTTCATAATCATAAGGGAACACAACATCAGCCTCCTAATCACTGATTTAACCTTCATCTGAATAAAAACAAACAACCCAAACTCTTACATCAACTTTCAGCAGGTCAGAAACCAAATAATTCTTTTGCATAGCAACTGTGTGGTTTTATTCCATTTCCTCATCATCACTGTCACCATTTACATATATTAACACTTTAAATAAAATAATTTCAATGGCCAGTCAAAACAGACACATCATGCAGACACAATATACACTATTCTACTGAATGTGAGAGGTGAACTCCGTAAGAAAACCAAGGACGAACCGGTCACGTGTCGACTTTATTGCTTTTGAACTTGGAGCTGTCCTCCTCGTCGTAGAATACGAGTGAAAGCGTGAGGTACTTTACAACATCATGAGCATTATTCCTTTTGTTCAACATGTCTGCACATATAGTCTCTCTCTAGGGTTTAACACAAGCATCAGAGAAACACTTCACTCCATTTGTACGAGTGAAGAAGACATCGGACGTTGGAACTGCAGCTACTTGTGTGTTTTCTTGAGGCATCTGGTCATCAGAGCTTTAGTCTGTCATTGTCTTAAAAAACACCAGAATCCACCTTTAAACACCTTCATATACACTTAGTAAAAAAAAAATAAAAAAAATCTAACATTTCACATTTCACACAAGTTAGTCTTCAAAAAGACTTGACTCACTCTGCTCAATCTCTTCACTAACAATTTTAAAAAGATGTTTTTTGGGGATTGTATCCTCGGATCTTTGTTGTTTGAACCTTCCTCACTGTTCAGGCCCAGAAACCATCCTGACTGGGAGTTTGTTACTGCAGCAGAAATGGAAAATCTCTCTTCTGTCTTTGTCCAACAATGTTTAGATAATGTTATCAAACATGTGCATGGACTGCATGATGTTTTCATCCTGGATGGAGGAACAAAAGATTGAAATAATTTCAGCAGCTGTGTGGTTGAAGTGTAGATGATATAATCTGATTTCATGTTACCTTTTGACACGTCTCCAGAAACTCGTCAATGGTGACCACTCCATCGTTGTTTCTGTCCATTTTCTGATTTAAAAAAAACACATAATCGAGTTGTTTCACAAGTTACCTTAAAGTGCTCTCTGTTGTTTATGGGAACTAAAAATGTATTGGTTACACCCTATTTCTCTGCCTTGTGTGTGTCATTGAGGGCTAAAGGGTCAGACATTTAGTTTTTGATAAGACATTTGCAAAGCCACATTTTTTAAAATCTTTTTTCCTAACATCATGCTACAAACTAGACATTAGACAAACAGTGTAAAACTTGCAGTAGGAGCCTCCTTGTAGCAGAAGATACAAACAAATTGGGAATCTGCTCACAAAACATCTTTCCATAGTGCCTCTGGTGGACAAAATCTCCAGAGTGTATTTGTAATAAGTAGCTCAAACAACATGCAGTGTTTTAAGTCTTTATTTTCAGCTAACACGGACAAGAACATCAGTTCTGTTTGCTGGTTAACGATTGGGAGTTTCTGACCGTTTTGTTTATGTTGTGCATGTGCAGAAAAGACACACATGCACAAGTGTGCACAGGCATATCACACAATACACCTTCCTCCCAGATAGTATGACACTGACTTACATGTAAAGGTAACATGCCAAAATATGCAGCAATGCATCAACAAACGGCTCTTTCACAGCTCATTTGGTGCAGACTTTTCCGTTTAGACAACAGACATGAAAACTCCCCCAAACCTTGGTCCAAAAAAAAGATGCTGTCTTGCTCCAAAACAAACTGAGCCATGACTCGGTTTGTTTCTAGTGTGAAAACATTTTATGAATTGTTCAGAAGCTGCAGCAACACATGGGCAGAGGAGGAAGCCATGTTTGGTGATTGAAATATGGTTCCAACAATGTTATAAAAAGCCAGTTGAATTGAAAAAAAGATGAATGAGAATGAGAGGCCATCTAAAGATCAAAAAACCCCAGCAACAGTATTCAAAGAGAGGCTCAAAAATGTCTGGACAGCAAATAAAAGCAGTGATCCAGAAAGCAATCAATGTGAAGTAGAGTTAGATGCAGCTATCGTAGGAGATGGTGACAGGTATGTTATATAAAGCTCTTTAGTGTATAACTGCAATTGGAAACTGGATCAAACGTACACAACAGACAATAACATGAACCTTGGTTTCAGGCATAAAAAGCAACTTCAGTTGCAGAAGAAGAAAACTGCAAGCAAGTAAAGCCGGATGTAAGAAACATTGGATTTAAAACACTTAAAAATAGCTTTACAACAAGGTATATGCAGATATTTGTTAGAGTGAAAGTAAATAACAAAGCATAAATATTACTTCTGTGTGTCTCCAAGCAAAACTCTGAAGGGTTCCTTTAAATGAACAATGCTGGTTGCTGTTACGCAGAACAAGCAGTACATGAAACACTGCACAATATTTTGATTGATATGAAATGTCTCAAGTGTTTGGGGAAATATACATTCTTGCACCTGTTTAAAAGCACAATTTGAATGCTAAAACATACTTTAATAAAAAAAGAATTTCAAGTGAAGACATGCAAAAAGAAGTGTTATTGTTTGTGGTTGTATCCTATCTGACAGGGTCAACGGGTCTCCAGCTGCACATTTTGGGAGCTCAGCAGCATCTCACATGGCAGCTCCAAACACGCACAAAAAATATATTTTTCCATCAGATTAATGTCAATAAATTCCCTGACTTGAGTTTAGTGTTGGAGTTGTGGAGTGTATTGATTTGATTCACCTGGAAGAAGTTGTCAACATGTTCTTTTGGTGCATTCTCCCTCATTAAGGGGTAAGTGTACTTCCCCATCATGTCATAGATGGAGTTCATTATATCTGTCATCTCCTGCATGAAAAAAACAGAGTTTAAAAAAAAAATTAAAAAAAAGAACATGAGCAACCAACATAACACGAGGCAGTTCATACAGACAGAGAGCGGTTCAGGTACCTCTCTGGTGATGCAGCCGTCCTTGTTCAGATCATAAAGATTAAAGGCCCAGTTGAGTTTATCAGTGATGGAGCCTCTTAAGATAATGGACAGACTTATGACAAAATCCTACAGAAGGGAAAAAGAAAAACTGAGGCATGATTGAAATCAGAAAAGATAATAGCAGTGACTCAACAGATAAAGTGAAAAGGAAGGAGCTATATTCACTCTACTGATTTATACTGCATCATATTATAGTGCATTTCTTGTTTCAGTCTCAAGCCTGGATACAAACTATTAAAGTGAAATAATCCTAAAAAGTTATGTGATTTATGCAATATGAGGGAAAAGCTGCAGAAGAAAGCTTTGTGTTGTCTTTGCTCTATGAAGAGCACAAAGATGAAAAAGGAAGTCTTTAGTCTGGACAGTCGCAACTAAAGAAAAGTGAGTCTCACCTCAAAGTTGACCGATCCGTTGTTGTGGGTGTCAAAGGCTTCAAACAGGAAATGTGCGTACATACTTGAATCTGGAACAAAGACAATATAAGCATGAGTCACATTTCTGACTGTAACTGTGTGATCAGCACATGAACAAGTATATTACTGCCTAAACTGAGAGGAAGAGGAACATATTAGAGACATTAGACATGCAGTAACATGAGCTGCACATGTTTTTTTGACTGAAATGAGTTTTCAGTTGTGATGTTTTGACATCATTTTTAAGTCTGTAGTTGTATATTGCATTTTGTAACAGCACAGCCAAGTTTGGAAGTAAACACAGCTCAAAAATGTCTTTTTCGCACATTGAAGTTAAATTTCTTTGATTATTTATTTTACAAAAAATGATAAAAACTGGAGTCAACATGTTACTAAGTACCCACATGTGTGATCAATACTGTGGGGGAAATGGCAGCTCCACATACTATAGATATTTCACTACTTAATTTGTTTCTATACTTGTCTCCTATTTGTATTTTGTGAACACTGACTGCAGTTCATCCCAGTTCAGGCAAAGAGTCCCTAAAGTTTTACAAAATCTGGTTCACAAGAAGGGTTCATTTTGGTGGATTGTTTTAAATGAGACATTTAAAATTAAGTTATTTTGATGAAATATCATGATTTTAAGCTTTAAACTACACGTCAGATATGATAGGATATGTTAGGATAGGACAATCAGAAAATTGAAAATCCAATCATTTCTTTTGTTTTTACAGTTTCTGGCTCTGATAAATGATGTAACATGGCAAGCCTTTAAAATGCAGGTTTTGGGAATCTGCTGGTTAAGGTGCTATATCATGACAAAGTACTACAATCCAAATGTATGTATAGTGCATGCAACAGTGTGTACTTTGTATGGGCAACTGCATTAAAGAGGCTGGTGTTATGCAAATGTATTACATGGTGACATAGATAGGCAACAATAAAAAAATTAAAAAAAACCCTGGACTGCAAAGGAGGAGTTTCAGGCAGGTAAGGAGAAGTCATTTCTGTTTTCAGACCTTTTAAATGCACAGAAAGCAGCTTTATGACACACCAAAGAAAAGCATAATATGGGCTCTTTAAGTACGATATATGACTAACAGGCTTTGAAGTGTATGACTAAACATCATTCCACAAGTTATAAATCCTATTTAACACTGCAGCTTGCAAGTCAATGCAAAACCAAGGATTTCTCAGAGGAGCACAGCTCAAAGCAGAGAACACAAGCTGCAGCGCTGACCTGATCTGGTGGTGTGTTTGAGAGGCGTGAGTCATCATCAGCTATCTTCAGATGTGAACACGCTGCAGATGGAGGAATCAAGTGAAATTAAAAACATGTGATGAAGGGCATGGGCGTGACTGACCTCCCTGAGGGAAGAACTGGGAGTAGATGCCTTTGAACGTGTCCTCATTCACTGCGCCACTTGGACACTCCTGCAGAAATCACAAACAGTGTCAACAAAAGATCCACAGGCAAAGATCTATAGCTTCAAAGTTTTGCACACTGAGCACAGGAATCAATAGTTCGCAGGAATCTTTGACTGACGTTTTTGAATCCTCTGTAGAGAACCTGCAGCTCTTTCTTGCTGAAGCTGGTCTGTTGCACAAGACGGTCGAGTCCCTCTGGTCTGTAACACACTGTTGCCAATTCACCTTCCTCCGTTATGCTTTCTACATGAACGAACAGAAAGAAAAGAGGAATAGTTACTCCCTGAGATACAACAGAGCATCTTTAAAGTGTTGGGTTTAGAGAAAAGAAAGTGGAAAACATAAAGGGAGGAAAAGAAAAAAAGAGACTGAAAGCTTTAAAGTGTTTTATTTGCTCAGTGATTGAGTTAGTGTGATTGTGTGTCCTGGCACTTGCGTTTATCGATTGATGGGTCGGAGCCAGAGCGACAGCAGAGCAGCAGTTTGAGAAGCCGCTGCTTTAGGGTCTTTTTATTGGGTTTGGATGGCGGATTACCTGGAAAACAACCAATCAGAGCAGATATTAGAGGCAGATAAGGTGGCCCACATAATGACTGCCATGGTGAATGGGTAAAACGCTGCCCAAACTAGGCTCGAACACTTGTAATCACTTGTCCATGCCACTCGGTGCAGGGAAATTAGTTTGCTGACCTGGCTTTGAACCAGTGAGACCCAGCAGGATCAAAGCTGTTTGGAAGACGTCCACCATGAGAGGTCACAGATGAAATGGCACATGACTGGAGTCTGAGCTGAGATACAGGGGTCAACTCGAGTGTGACCTAAATCTGTGACACTGTTCGGTCTTAGTTCCTCTTTGACATGATGAGAAAACATGCTTTTTTTAAATCCTTGATTTATTCATTCAGTCTTTTGAAAGACAGACTAGGGAACTAAATGTCCAAATTGAGCTTAATCCGATGTTAAATTAAATTAATAACTAATTAAAGTGTTTAATGCATGTTGTAAAATGACACTAAAGGGGACCCAAGGTGTTAAAATCTAATGTCAAAGTGAAAACTGACAAATTAGAATAGAATAGAATAGAATAGAATAGAATAGAATAGAATGGAATAGAATTATTTTAGATTTTTAGATATTTAGAGTTATTTTTTTGATCCTCCATTGGGGGAAATTTACACGCCACAGCAGCATCCAAAAACATAGAAAGGACACGAAAACAACAATAATTAAAGCTGCAAGCAGCGTTGGTCGGGTCCTCGGTCTGTATTGCAACCTCATGCCCGTCTGACCTCCATTTTGACAATTTATTCCCCTTCACTACACTTTGACATACTAACAGGGAATTTTCATAGTCTCTCTTCTCAGCCTCAGACCATAGACTGTATAAAAGATGGACGTAGCTACCATGACGTCACCTGTTGGTTTCTGCCCTGAGAAAATGAAGCCAGGGTTTTGCTACTTCCTGGTTGACATCTTGGATTTTTGGTGCCAGTGACGCAAAAATCGTCAGAGGGGGGCGGAGCCATAGGAGCAGCGATTGGTCAGACGGATTGAGAGGCGGGCCCTCTCTGCCCGCCCACATTTACCGCCTTCTGCTCGCTTCGTCTGTATGGTCGCTGCCGACTGTCAACCTTGCCCCGCAAAATTTTGATGATTTTTTAAAAATTCAGTATTGATTTATTTTCAGATTGGCCACCTGATCTCTGGATTTGACTATGGAAACTAATAAGAAAAAAATCCTGAGCTGTAGGAATGCGGTATTTCGTGATCTGTGATCACTTCTTTTCCAATTCAAGTCAATGGGAGCCAGGGCTTTTTGGAGCCAGCAGCTAATGGACGTAGTGATATTGCAGGTTTTTGACACTTCCGGGTTGGCTTCATTTTTCAGGGCCGGTTGCAACGTCCATCTTTTATACAGTCTATGCCTCAGACTGTCAGTGAGTCACATGAGCAGCTGCACTGCGCTGTCAATCACGATTAAAGCTGCAGATGATGATGTCATGATGAGTCATAGTTCTTCATGCCCATAGACTGTATAAAAGATGGACGTTGCAACCGGCCCTGAAAAAGGAAGCCAACCCGGAAGTGTCAAAAACCTGCAATATCACTACGTCCGTTAGCTGCTGGCTCCAAAAAGCCCTGGCTCCCATAGACTGGAATTGGAAAAGAAGTAAGTACAGATCACGAAATACTGCATTCCTACAGCTCAGGATTTTTTTCTTATTAGTTTTCATAATCAAATCCAGAGATCAGGCGGCCAATCTGAAAATAAATCAGTACTGAATTTTTAAAAAATCGTCAACATTTTGCGGGGCAAGGGGCGTGGCTGACAGTCGTCAGCGACGATGCAGACGAAGCGAGCAGAAGGCGGTAAATGTGGGCGGGCAGAGAGGGCCTGCCTCTCAATCTGTCTGACCAATCGCTGCTCCTATGGCTCCACCCCCCCGACGATTTTTGCGTCACTGGCTCCAAAAATCCAAGATGTCAACCAGGAAGTAGCAAAACCCTGGCTTCATTTTCTCAGTGCAAGGCCTTCTCTGTCTCCTGTGTGATTTTTCAAGCTGATACCATTTATGATGTCAGACAAGATAATTTTTTTCCAAAAGATGCAGCTCTCTCCCCAAAACATGACTCCGCCACCTCCTTGCTGACTTCACAGCCTTGTTGGGACATGGTGGCTGTACACCAACCATCCACTACTCCGTCCATCTGGACCATCCAGGGTTGCACGGCACTCATCAGTGAACAAAACTGTTTGAAATTTTGTCTTCATGTATTTCTGGGCCCACTGCCCACTTGTTTTCTGCTTGTGAGCATTGGTTAGGCGTGGCCGAATACAAAGTTTATGCATAACTGCAAGCCTCTGGAGGATCCTACACCTTGATGTTCGTGGGACTCCAGAGGCACCATCCATCCATCCATTTTCTATACACCGCTTAATCCTCACGAGACACCCTGGACAGGTCGCCAGTCCATCGCAGGGCCACACTTAGAGACAGACAACCAAGCACACTCACATTCACACCTACGGACAATTTAGAATCACCAATTAACCTCAACATGTTTTTGGACTGTGTGGAGAACCCGGAGAGAACCCACGCTGCACGGGGAGAACATGCAAACTCCACGCAGAAAGATTCCGGTGCCCCCACCGGGACGCGAACCGGCAACCTTCTTGCTGCGAGGCAACAGTGCTACCAACTGCGCCACCTTGCAGCCCTCCAGAGGCACCAGCAGCTTCAAATACCCGTTTGCTTCTTTGTAATGGCATTTTAGTAGCTGCTCTGTTAATCCGATGCGTTTGTCTGACAGAAACCTTCCTCATTGTACCTTTATCTGCACAAACCTGTGTGGGCTCTGAATCAGCCACAAATCTCTTAAAAGTACGATGGTCATGCTTAAGTTTTCGTGAAATATCTAAGGTTTTCATACCTTGTCCAAGGCATTCAACTATTTCATGCTTTTTGGCAGCAGAGAGGTCCTTTTTCTTTCCCATATTGCTTAAAAATGGTGGTCTGCTTAATAATGTGGAACGTCCTTCTTTAGTAGTTTTTCCTTTAATTGGGCTCAGCTGGCAAATTAATTATCACAGGAGACTGAGATTGATTTCAGTGATCAAAGAGCCCTGAGACACAATACCATCCATGACTTTAATTTGAAAAAAAAAAAAAGTAATCTTTTTGACACTTACATACAAATTGCATAATAATTTGGAACTTTGTGTCGTGTGTTTTACTGTCTTAGGTTAGCATGTTAGCATGCTAACTTTTGCTAATTGACCTTAAAAACAAAATACAACTGAAACTAATGGGAGCGTCATAAACCCAAGTATTAGAGAAGTTCACATTTTGACCTGATGGCTGCTCTTGAAGAAAATGCTGAGGATTGTCAAATTCTGGGAATCATTTTTTAGATCAGTTTACTGCATATCTTTATCATCTTGTTTCAACTTTTCACTGAAGCTACATGAAGTTTCAAATCTAAGACTCCATGTTTTTAGCTGGACAACTGTATAAAGTGGAAGTATTGAGCATTATTTTACACATACAGCGTTTAACCTGACATGTTTGGCTTCTTTGTTACCTTCGTACTCGAATCTAAAACAAAAATGTGTGCTGTAGCTGTAGTGAGACAAGTAAATGCTCCATGGAGTTGAATAAAGAGACCAGACGCCCACCGTCATGGTCCGCTGACATTTACAGACACAACACAATTTTGTCACTTGACCTTTGACAGGAACATTGAGGATTCTCTACAACAGACCCACAAACGAGCTGCTGTCTGTGTTTGACCCATAAACAGCTTCATTTTAATGCCTTAAAACTGACACAATTGATTAACTGAATGTGCAAGGCTTAAATGAACAGGAACATATTAGCACTGGTAATAATTAAGAAGCAAGGCAAAATGTCGGTATTGATTCTGACTCATTGCGGTCCTGGTAAAAAGTGATTGAACTTCTCTTTTAGATTCTTGAATGTCCAGTTGTTTTTTACTGAAGCTCTTAGAATTAAGAAGCATGTTGATAATATTTAAACATGTATGATGAACACTAACCCACTAAATAAAGCACATCATACAATCTCAGCTATGAAAACATTGTATTAGTCACATTAAAATCAAAACATCTTAACTGTTAAATGAACAAGGAAAAAACAAATAAACTTCACACTCTTCCTCTTATTCACTCGTCCCTCTAACTACATTATCTGCCCGTCTTTAGCTGATGCTGTCACCTTCTGGTTCCTCTGTAGGACATTATATTGGCCTTTACCTCTGATGAGCTCCTTCAAAGAGGATGTTCACTGATGTTGTCTTCAGTGTGAGACTGACATACAACACTCCTTTGACTTTCTTTATAGTCCTTCCACACTGGTTGAATCCACACTTATTTTCTTTCAGCTTTATCAGCTGATAACTAGCTCTGAGCTGCATATAAATCAATCAATAATCCTAAAGGTTGACATCCTCCTCAGTATCTTCATAAAGCTGCTGACTGAAGGAAACAGAGCGTTGCCATCCTCCTCTCTGATTCCAGCAGGAGCAGCAGAGGGGTGAAACCCAAACCTCCCTTTCATCCTTTATTTCTGAATCTCTTCCTGGTCCTCAATCCTCTTTGTGTTTTGTTAAAGGGTCTCAGTTGGTTTCAGCTGAAGGCATCTTGTTTTTATAGTCTCTCTAATCCACAACCAGACACAGAAACTTTGTTCTGATGCCGAGAAACTCAAGAACAAACAGACTGTGGATGAAAAGGTGCTGGACAAAAGTAGCTATTCTGACATTTTTATTCTATTCATGCTCTGCTCTCTGTCTTATTTTTTCAGTGTGATCTTGTGTCACGTCTTTGATTCCCTTTCTAAACTTTCCCTTCTGTGGACTTACTCTACACTTCTGCTCCTGTCAGTCAGTCATGCATCTGCAGAACATCTTCTTTATTCGTTAATCGGTTATCAGCCTTGTCTGTTTGTTCTGATTGCCTGATTGAAAGGAGCTGAAAGAGCATAAAATTACTTCCAGTCTAAGTACTTGTGGGTA